AATTTTCATCAATTTAAATTCTTTTGTATAATTTATGGCATATTTTTTTCCAAAATTGCCACTGTCCTGGAGGATGTATTCCAAACAATGACGAAAATAAATGCTTATGTGATACACAAGACTGTGAGCTTCAGATGGGTTTAAGTTGGGTTTGAAGTCTTAAGTCACAATTTTGCTGACACTGTAAAAGCCATATATGGTGCTGTACTGGTTGTGGAAAAACTCAGGTGTTCTTACCTGTATAATATTTCAGGTAAAAGCAGGCACCTGAATAGAATCATCAACCTTCTAAAGCTAGCTAGATAGCTTCCTCACATAAAAGAATCAAAAGCCCCTAACAAGATTAGAGAACCGGGCACAACAGTGTTACAGCCACGTGATTTAAAGTCATGAAGCTAACCTGCTCAAAAAGTAGCCATGAAGGTCCCTTATACCCAAGACAAAAGGTACCGGGTAACAATATTTGTGACAAAGTTATTTCCAATTTCTTACTGTGACAGACAAATGCATGATAAATGGCTATATTAAAACACTATCTCTGTTATCAGATAACTTGTTGCTGTGCAATATGATCAATGTTGGAACTGTTGTTGCTAGCAGACATCAATCTAACTAAACTGACATCCGGCAATCAATAATAACAACATTACTACATCACTATCAATATAATAATGATGGTAATATTGTAGCAAAAAGGTTATAATAACATTAAACAATCTATATAATGTCATCCAAGGACATCTTAAACTATCACAGTATCTAATTAAACAATTGTAATAAAACGAGAGCTGTCATAATGATCAACTGTTTGAAAACAATATTTACTGTATAGAGTATAAGACAATTATAATATACTTTTTATAATATCAGCAACTAGCATTCAATTATTAAACATAAGACAAAAATTATGAAGTGTACCTATGTGCTGTACCTGTGGCTAAAAAGACTTTAAATACAGGAACTTCTGTGTTGACCATTTTCATACAGTTCAAGACCAGTGTGTCATTTATCATTTATATAAAGCAATTCAAGATTCTATCATTTCATATACAGAATCACCCAGCTGCAATTGTACCATAATTTCATAAAGCAATTCACATTTTTATACTAACTGACATTTTCTATCAATTTAAATCTGTTCAAACCATTATCAAAAAGAGTTCTGTGCCTTAGCACATTCAAACTCCACCAATCAAACAACAACCATCAATTTTTATGTCTAATTTTTCATAAACCATTTTTTTTTTCTAATTTTAAAATTGTTGAGAATTTCTGTGCATGTTAACTTACAACAAAAAATAAAGATTAGTAAACCAGAAGTCACTTGATTTTACATGACTTGAAATCAAATAAATAAATAATTATACATAACTTATTGTCCAAAAATATGAACAATTATCATTTCCAGAAATATGAGGTTGTTTTTTGACTTATGGTGATCATTAATTTTAAAACAATAAAGAAATAAAAAGTCATCTTTTATTCTTACTAATTTTTATTGAGGTAATTTCGTGTAGCCCTAGAAAGTTTCCATAATTAGATCACATTATCAACCTTAGAGTTAACATGATTTATCTTCAAGAAAATAAAACCATAATGCAATCCAAATTAATTGTTCAAATATGAGTAAGACATGATTTTTACCCTTTGCCTGTCTAGCAGAAAGGCAACTTAGCCTTTGGCAGTAAAGAGCCAAACCTTAGCCGGCATGTATGGGCAGTCTTAAATCAGGTTCTAGCTAAAATGTTCAGGTAACCTAATTTTTGTGTTCTGATACTTAAACATCCCTTAAACATCAAAATGGACTATTCTTAATTCAAAATTGGGAAAATCCATTACCAAACTTGAACAGTTACAGGCCCAGTGAATTGTTAAAGATATCTAAGCTTCTCTCCATGTTTGTGAAAAGTTATAATAATTCACATGTTCTAATTTATGCATCACTTGAATTCATTTTATTATAATATTATAAATATTTCCCTTTGTATTTTCTTTTGATTTTTTTTTAAAGATTAACTTGCTGAAGAACATTAATTGCACTTTTGTACAGAGTACAATAAAGATTATAGTAAATATTACATAACACTTATAATTTTATATTTCTGCTGCTATAACATACAGCTAAATTAGAGTGTCAATACCAGATGTGTGCGTTGAAGAATGATAAAGAGAATAGAGCAGAACCAAGAACACAACAAATTTTATACTTTTGAAAAAAGAAAATATTGAAAGAACTGAAAGTCACAATTATAGTTTGTACTGTTAACAATAAACTATGAATGATGTCTTAGTATACTTATAAATAAAGAAAGAACAACATCATTAAATTGGCCTAAACATGAAATTTTTTTTTAAGAATTCATAGTCACATTGTTCGATGGATGAACAGTGCTAGGGAACGTGGAAAGTAACTTGTAATTTCCAGTACCACACATGAACAGGCTCAATTAAACCGAGCATGCAACATTTTCAATTCTGCCGTTTAATGGGCGTTCTTCAGGGATTCTCTCACTCTTTATTTTGAACTTTTAGCAGTCTCTAAAAAAACAATACCATCATTAAATTGGCTAATCTTCATACCTCAACATGTTCTCTCATCAACTGTGTCCTCTAGACAAATGAAGGCAATTAGTGACCAAATCAATATCAACATACATGACAATTCACTGTCAGTGAGGTGCTTCTAAACCAATCAGCATATCTTATTGATTATTGTTGGAAACCATTTACAAGCAAATCATGTCAATGTCTTAATTGACTCCAACCACTGAGAACAACAACAGATAAAATAACTGAATATATCAATTATTCTTCTACCACAGAAAGTACACTTAGTCTTAGTACTGTATTAGATGTGAATATTTATAGATATGACCATTACATGAAAAATATATATTTATCACAGAAACAAAGAAGGAAAACTTTCTAAATGCATACAGATTGTACAAATTATGACCTTATAAAGCAGAACTGTGACAAACAATGTATCTTTAAGTACTATTATAACATTCCAGGAATTATGTATTACATAATGAGCTGAAAATGACCTTAATTGGCAATTTTTGTCATTATCATACAGGCATCATTGACATATTTGTGCTAGTGTTGACATTCTTACACTGTTTTGTACTTCTAACTTTCTTATTATGTTATATAGTAACTGACAATAATAACTTTGCCAGTGCATCATCAGTATTCAGTTATAGATTTTCTATTGCCTGCATGCACTTGTGAATCTAGATATTTTTATGACAAGAAATAAAATTGTCGAAGCTTAGTGACTAAGAGACAGAAGTCTTTAAAGATCTTAGAAAATATTAAAGCACTGTTCTTTAAGAACAATAATAATTAATAATTCATTAGAAATTTTCATCAATTTAAATTCTTTTGTATAATTTATGGCATATTTTTTTCCAAAATTGCCACTGTCCTGGAGGATGTATTCCAAACAATGACGAAAATAAATGCTTATGTGATACACAAGACTGTGAGCTTCAGATGGGTTTAAGTTGGGTTTGAAGTCTTAACCCTAGCGAAAATTTCATGATTGAAACATGTCTAAACATGTTTTAAACACGTTCTTACATGTTATTTTGAAATGTCTGAACATGTTTTGAACATGTTTTAAACATGTTTAAACATGCACGTGAAATGGCACCATGATCTAACAGGATCAGTCAACAATCGTGATTAGTCATGTTTTGATGATCAAAAAAGGTATCATGGTCAATCACATTTTGACATGTTTTTGTTCTATCCAGCTATCATGTTTTGGACATGTTTGAAAACGTTCACAGAACATGTTTTAATATGGTTGATCATGTAACTACTACTTTACTGTCAAACACATCTAAACATGATTAAAAATGTTCCCAAAACATGATGGAACATGTTTAAACATTCACATTAAATGGCACCACGATCCAAACACATCTAAACATGTTTAAACATATACAAATAAAGATTCCATAACATGGTCGAACATGTTAATATATCCAAATCAAGGGGTCATTTTGACATTTTCAAACATGTTCAAACATTTTCAAAAGAACAAAGCTGACATTGTTTTACATCAGCACAAGTCAACAGACAAAGGCAATCACAAAAGTTCATCTCGAGTACGCTCAGATGAGGTAAAACTTAAATTACAACTTTTGAGATCAGAAACCCTGGACACAATTCTTTTTTATTTCTTTTCTTTCTTTTTTTTTTCAGCACAAAAGTAATTTTCATTATGTCAATACTTGATTTACATTGTCACTTGGAATACTAACTGCTTCACATTTTGTGTCTTAATGACCACTTCCTGATATCAAAATGTTTCTGAACGAGCTTGCTGATTAAGTTAAATTTGGCAGGATCAAACTTGGTCTTTGTTGGCCTTTTTACCAGTTGCACTATGGTTTTTGAATTTCTTCGATGGTGAAGAACATACCTCTCCAGGACATCCTCCAGATGATCAAATGTTGCAAACCTGCCAAAGGAAACACTGACTTTGAATAAGCAAAATAAATCATTTTATTTTTTTTCTTATCCGACATCGTGTTATCCGAAAAAAATGTTAATAAATGACAAAAAAACTTAATAATTTAACAGTTAAAATCTCTTTTTTAAGTTAAGTTTCATTCATTTATAAGTGGAAATTTTGTGGCTATGAGAATTTAAAATAATTTCCTCCAAAATTTCTAGATATATGGTCGATTGTTCCTTAAAAACCATTTCGGCCAAGATGCCAAATTTTCGGTCGCCGTCCGGACCGATAACTTTCCAGAAGACTGGCATTTTGCTAGGTATTTTGGATGACCTTTTGAATTTTAATTGAAAGAAAGAGCAATCTTATTTTTAATTATCAAGACTGTCCTTGTGCTCGGAAGCATGCGTGCAGATGAAGAACTTACATGCGATGGGTATAGCAGGATACCATTTCTCCTGGAACTTGGAAAATGTTCTTGTCCCAGGCATTGACCCTCCCCGATCAGCGCAGTGCTGACAAACGACCAGTTGTTCGCCAAAGTCCAATAAACAAGCACTTTCATATTTCAGCCATTTTGATTTTTCCCTCGTTTAAAACTAACCGCACATGTATTCGTGTAATCTATTGGTTGCTAAATATAAACTTTGGGTTAGGTGGCGCTGAAGGTAACGTGATTTTCTAAACCGGAAGTATAGAAAGATAACACTTGAAGAAACTGTAACATGCGATTTTGGTGGATTTCGAGGTTTTCAGAAGCTGAAGAAGGTAAATGTCATTATATATAACAATATGTTTTGTTCTGACACCACGGTAAGTGCTACAACCCGTTTGCTAGCTGTATATTTATTATTAGAATAACATCCGGAAAAGTCCGTAAGTTCCGTATTTTAGCCAGCCTCCAGGATCATTTTTGTGAATCACGTAAATCCGTTTTAGATTTCTGAGGGTATTGGTTGCCTCTTATCTCGAGTGAGAACTGAAAGAACTCTATTGCCCATTTGATTTTATAAACAGGTGATGTTTTTGTCCGTTTCGTTAAATTCAAAAAGTTTTTTTGTGCATTATGAGCGATTGTGTGCATTACGCACCTTGGTATGAATCAACGCTTCTGATTGGTCGAACAAGTTGTGATTGTCGAATCAGATTTTAGAAAACAAGTGACCGGCTAGTTTGTACTTCCGTAAACAACAACAACAAAAAAATTCTCATCATGAAGTTTCTGCCCGCGAGGCAAAATACCAAAGACCTAGAGAAACAAAGCAATGTTGCAAATATTTGGCGATTGCCGTCCTTGAATGAAATTAATTCCGAGGGGTTATTATGGGGATATTTGGCTACGGAAACATGGGAAATCGCGGCACAAATCGACCCGCACGAAGTACCCAGACTATACCAGAATAGATACACCCAAATAAAAGGCAAATATAGTAATATTCATCTTTTGTTTGCCTAAAATATATATTTTTGTAATGAGAAAATAAATTATTTTTATAAAATAACTTGAATAAGCCGGCTGTAACTTTCTTTCATTTACATTTTTTTCGGGCCTGTACGGCTAGCCAAAAGTTCTAGCCGTACGTGAGTCAGGTATGACTAGCCAGGACACACTGTATTGGCTAGCCGTACAGCACTTTTCAAAAATATATGGAAGGCGTCGAAAGTGCATATGTTAATTATGACTTAAAAAGAGAATTTTAGTCAAGAATGTTTACTTTTTAGAGATTAATCGACACGTTGGCTACAGTAAAGAATGTACTTTGTCCTCTCAAAGACGTCGAGAAAAAAATAGCATTTGGTTGCAGTTACATAACATCAATTTAAATAGTTTACAAAATTTTGATGATAATCCTTTTTTGTTTCATTAAGTTTAATTTTTAAATTGAAAAAAAAAAACACCGAAAATAATTGTTGTTGGGCACTGATAATTGCGTCAATTACCGTCGGTATAGAAGTTTGTCCATCGTCGATCATTAAGGAAAGTTTGCATTATTAAATTATTTTTCTTTTTCACCGTTTTTTCTAATATTCTTTTTTTTTTTTATTTACATGTATTTATTTATTCCCCTCCAATCATTATTTATTCGATCCATGTGCTTAACAGATTTAACAATTCATCTTTCATACAAATCATAAGCATGAACATTAAGGACGATATAACATGCAAGTTTGACACTTAATTTTATTAAGCTAGATTATACAACACTTACTCGTATTCATTTTTTTTGTGCAAAATTGCGGAGCATCTTTATTGAAGTGAACAAACTAGGACAAATGAGGAGATTTGATTAAAATCGTCATTTAAAGACACAAAATAACATATGCATTTTCGACTTCCATTTATTTTTGAAAAGTGCCGTACGGCTAGCCAATACAGTTTGTCCAGGCTAGTTGTACGTGACTCACATACGGATAAAACTTTTGGCTAGCCGTACGGGCCCGTACAGCTAGCCACTTCCTTTTAAGAAAATTAACTTGTGCAGGGTTGTCATTAAGAGGCGGCAGGAGGCCAAAATGCCTGTCTCAAATGCATTATGGGCCGCCTCAAAATTAAGAAAACACTCTTTGTTATGCATGATAAAGACAGAAATGACCGCCTCAAGTTCAAAAACAAACCTTCTGCAAAAATGTTAATGACAACCCTGCTTGTGACATTTGATTTGCTGATCTAGATTCATTATTTAATTACAATTTAAGATAAAGATATGATAATATTTGTTGTCTACTTTTAGGGTATAATTTTTTTGTTATTTCATACAAGTGTCCATCATATTATTTTTTTTTAATTTAATTTTATAAGGACAACTTTTAGCAGTAGCAAAAAATCTACAAGGTTGAGCACCTGTTACTTTGTGATATTTTGCATGTTTAGAGAGTAGCTAAAGCAGAGACGGTATTCCTTTAGCCTGTATATTTGATTTTTGCCAGAGGGACGAAATGTGTTGTTTGGGTCTCCGTCCACTGTAGATTTTGGGCTTCAACAGAATGAATTGCATTTTTTTTACTGCCTGCCTAATGCAGATGGGATAATTTCTTTGTAGATTTGCAATCTTATGTCATATACGTTCTCAACAAAATGTGTTTTCTTTTTCCAGGTTGTGTAGTTTGGTATCAGAATAGATTGACGTATTGCTTGTAGGACATTGACGGCTGAGGAACTTGAAATTAACTGTAGAGTGCTACCTTTAACATGTATGAGTGTGACAATTTCTATGACCATGAAAATACAAGGAAGAGTAATTCGGACAAGTTAACAGATCTGTATATCTGAACTAAAAGTACTGAAATGATTGCTGATGCAAACCCTGTTGGTTAGATTTTCTATCAAGAGTTTGTCCAAATAATACTGGTTAACTTATGTCAGGTGATGAAAAACCCTCTGGCACTGAATATTCAAAAGGAAATTTTGCATCTAAAGAAGAAACAATGCTATGTTCTTGCTAAGATTGGTTTGAACAATGTAAAAGATTATAGAATAACACACAGAATATTAAGACAAAGGAAAATTTCTTTATTCCGAAAAGTACAAACAAATGAAAAAACTGTTACACTGTTTTGTGCCTGGATAGTGTGATATTAGCTATATCATATTTCATAGAAAATATTGTGGATGAGAAGTTGTTTGCTGTTGGACATATGTACAATAACAGAACAAGTACATCCTTTTTGTGATGTTGGATGCCATCTCATGATCTGTTAAGAATGAAAACTGAAGAGGATGTTCATGTTGTTCTTGTAGATAAGATAATTGAAGAAGTGTTTGTTATTCAAACTGAAAATACAATTTTTAAAGTTAGTTTGTGTTCCATATTTGTTCAAGTGACTGGCGTATTTTAGATTGCATCATTTGAATCGCAGTTTGAGACAGTAAAATATAAGTCTAATATTACAAAATACAACTTTAATGTGACAATTAGTGTTAATTATTATAGGTACAATCCCTGTGGTAGTGATTTACGGGTCACTTCTTCAAATCTGTCTTATATAATAGATACTAAAATGATATGTTAACTAAAAAGTATTGATTTTGGATACAAATAAATTCAGATTCTTGAATAGGTGTTCAATTTCATGAAAATATTTTATTTTCCAAGATATTTTCCTTTGTTTTGTTAAATTTTTTCAAGTTTAAGTAGTATTTGCAGTAACTCTTGTCTGCCATAAATGGTGGATGGCGAGTTTGAGCTCTGCTTTGCAACCATAACCTTCATATGGAAAAATTGGTAATTCTTAACTGAGTTTTTTTTTTACTTTCGCCGAACTGAAGTTCCGCGTCCTGTATGGAATATTTTATTTTGCCTGTTGTATATTTGTAACTGGTAGGAACATAATGTGATTTTTGTACCTAAACTTAGCTTTTATGGCTACAGTTAAGGGTAATATATCCCACTATCAATTTATGCCTCATATTGTGGTACATAATCCCCGGCTTCTGAAATTAAGATCCTACCTTAATTTACCATTTTAATTAATTTTGCTACATTTACTTCTTCCAGTGCCCTTTGATGCTTTATATCAATGCTTATCTTATATTCCGATAAATGCTGTAAAACTGTTTGAAAATGGGGACAATATGTTTAACCTACATTTATGGCCTAGCAGATGGATTCTAGGATTATAACCAAGGAGATGCTGAATCATGCTCTGAGCTGTCTGAAAATTTTATTATATTCAAAATTCAGTCATGTTTAAAACATGTTTGCTTTCCTATAAAAAAATGTAAACAAAACAACTGAAACTATTCTTTTTATCAGTGTTTTCACAGAAAGTAAAATCCTGTTGTAAGATGTAATTTAAAAAATGCTTATTTGTTAAAAAATATCAACTTGGAATTTATCATGTTCAGCCATGTTTGATCATGTATGACTATGTTATTCTCTTAGTAGTAAATGGGTCAATGTTGTCAGTAATTATTAAAGCGTTTAAGGCTATTTTTACACAAAGTTGAAATGTATGGATACTTTTTTATCCAAAAGAATAACTTATTTGATGAAAGTAACAAGAAAAAAGAGAGATTTGTTTGATTTTTTTTTTATAAATTTATCATGTTTATTCATGATTGAATATGTTTGATTTCTTGTAAGATTGTTTGCAGAAAAAAAAAACAATCTTTATGATTTTTACCTCTCCCTGAAAGTCATTATAATATTACTTGAAATAAATACAGATGTTTTATTGAACAAATTGTAATTTTCATCCACAATCATGTTTGATGGTCAAACATGTTTATAAGACATGATTGACCAACATGGTCAATGAGGAAAAAAACATGTTTGTACACGTCTTATCATGTTTAATCATATAACATGATTTCTTTTTCGCTAGGGAAGTCACAATTTTGCTGACACTGTAAAAGCCATATATGGTGCTGTACTGGTTGTGGAAAAACTCAGGTGTTCTTACCTGTATAATATTTCAGGTAAAAGCAGGCACCTGAATAGAATCATCAACCTTCTAAAGCTAGCTAGATAGCTTCCTCACATAAAAGAATCAAAAGCCCCTAACAAGATTTAGAGAACCGGGGGCACAACAGTGTTACAGCCACGTGATTTAAAGTCATTGAAGCTAACCTGCTCAAAAAAGTAGCCATGAAGGTCCCTTATACCCAAGACAAAAGGGTACCGGGGTAACAAATATTTGTGACAAAGTTATTTCCAATTTCTTACTGTGACAGGACAAATGCATGATAAATGGCTATATTAAAAACACTATCTCTGTTATCAGATAACTTGTTGCTGTTGCAATATGATCAATGTTTGGAACTGTTGTTGCTAAGCAGACATCAATCTAACTAAACTGACATCCGGCAATCAATAATAACAACATTACTACATCACTATCAATATAATAATGATTGGTAATATTGTAGCAAAAGGTTATAATAACATTAAACAATCTATATAATTGTCATCCAAGGACATCTTAAACTATCACAGTATCTAATTAAACAATTGTAATAAAACGAGAGCTGTCATAATGATCAACTGTTTGAAAACAATATTTACTGTTATAGAGTATAAGACAATTATAATATACTTTTTATAATATCAGCAACTAGCATTCAATTATTAAAACATAAGACAAAAATTATGAAGTGTACCTATGTGCTGTACCTGTGGCTAAAAGACTTTAAATACAGGAACTTCTGTGTTGACCATTTTCATACAGTTCAAGACCAGTGTGTCATTTATCATTTATATAAAGCAATTCAAGATTCTATCATTTCATATACAGAATCACCCAGCTGCAATTGTACCATAATTTCATAAAGCAATTCACATTTTTATACTAACTGACATTTTCTATCAATTTAAATCTGTTCAAACCATTATCAAAAAGAGTTATGTGCCTTAGCACATTCAAACTCCACCAATCAAACAACAACCATCAATTTTTATGTCTAATTTTTCATAAACCATTTTTTTTTTCTAATTTTAAAATTGTTGAGAATTTCTGTGCATGTTAACTTACAACAAAAAATAAAGATTAGTAAACCAGAAGTCACTTGATTTTACATGACTTGAAATCAAATAAATAAATAATTATACATAACTTATTGTCCAAAAATATGAACAATTATCATTTCCAGAAAATATTGAGGTTGTTTTTTTGACTTATGGTGATCATTAATTTTAAAACAATAAAGAAATAAAAAGTCATCTTTTATTCTTACTAATTTTTATTGAGGTAATTTCGTGTAGCCCTAGAAAGTTTCCATAATTAGATCACATTATCAACCTTAGAGTTAACATGATTTATCTTCAAGAAAATAAAACCATAATGCAATCCAAATTAATTGTTCAAATATGAGTAAGACATGATTTTTACCCTTTGCCTGTCTAGCAGAAAGGCAACTTAGCCTTTGGCAGTAAAGAGCCAAACCTTAGCCGGCATGTATGGGCAGTCTTAAATCAGGTTCTAGCTAAAATGTTCAGGTAACCTAATTTTTGTGTTCTGATACTTAAACATCCCTTAAACATCAAAATGGACTATTCTTAATTCAAAATTGGGAAAATCCATTACCAAACTTGAACAGTTACAGGCCCAGTGAATTGTTAAAGATATCTAAGCTTCTCTCCATGTTTGTGAAAAGTTATAATAATTCACATGTTCTAATTTATGCATCACTTGAATTCATTTTATTATAATATTATAAATATTTCCCTTTGTATTTTCTTTTGATTTTTTTTTAAAGATTAACTTGCTGAAGAACATTAATTGCACTTTTGTACAGAGTACAATAAAGATTATAGTAAATATTACATAACACTTATAATTTTATATTTCTGCTGCTATAACATACAGCTAAATTAGAGTGTCAATACCAGATGTGTGCGTTGAAGAATGATAAAGAGAATAGAGCAGAACCAAGAACACAACAAATTTTATACTTTTGAAAAAGAAAATATTGAAAGAACTGAAAGTCACAATTATAGTTTGTACTGTTAACAATAAACTATGAATGATGTCTTAGTATACTTATAAATAAAGAAAGAACAACATCATTAAATTGGCCTAAACATGAAATTTTTTTTAAGAATTCATAGTCACATTGTTCGATGGATGAACAGTGCTAGGGAACGTGGAAAGTAACTTGTAATTTCCAGTACCACACATGAACAGGCTCAATTAAACCGAGCATGCAACATTTTCAATTCTGCCGTTTAATGGGCGTTCTTCAGGGATTCTCTCACTCTTTATTTTGAACTTTTAGCAGTCTCTAAAAAAACAATACCATCATTAAATTGGCTAATCTTCATACCTCAACATGTTCTCTCATCAACTGTGTCCTCTAGACAAATGAAGGCAATTAGTGACCAAATCAATATCAACATACATGACAATTCACTGTCAGTGAGGTGCTTCTAAACCAATCAGCATATCTTATTGATTATTGTTGGAAACCATTTACAAGCAAATCATGTCAATGTCTTAATTGACTCCAACCACTGAGAACAACAACAGATAAAATAACTGAATATATCAATTATTCTTCTACCACAGAAAGTACACTTAGTCTTAGTACTGTATTAGATGTGAATATTTATAGATATGACCATTACATGAAAAATATATATTTATCACAGAAACAAAGAAGGAGCATTTTCTAAATGCATACAGATTATTCAAATTATGACCTTATAAAGCAGAACTGTGACTTGTCAACATATCTTTAAGTACTATTATGACATTCCAGGAATTAAGGTATTACATAATCAGCTAAAATGACCTTAATTGGCAATTTCTGTCTAATTATGTCACCAGGCATCATGTGACATCATTGTGCCAGTGTTGACATTCTTACACGACACAGTTTTGTACTTCTAACTTTCTTATTATACTACTGACAATAATAACTTTGCCTGTGTTGTCTGAGTCTAAGCCTTATTGTTGTTTGTTCTTGTGTAGTATTTAGATATTTTTATGACAGATATAAAAAATTTAAAAGCAATTCTGAGACAGAAGTCTTTAAAAATCTTAGAAAATCTGAAACATAAAAAAAAAATTTCTTTTATTTAATTTATGGTATATTTTTTTCAAGAATTGCCACTGTGTTGAAGGATGTATTCCAAAAATGATAAAGAAAAAATGCTAGTATGTTAAGACAGGTTCAGATAGGTTTTAAGTTGGGTTTGAAGTCTTAAGTCACAATTAAGACTTAATTTGCTGACACTCAGTTAAAGCCATATATGACAACATTGGTGCTGTACTGGTTGAGGAAGACCTCTGGTGTTCTTACCTACATATATCATTTCAGGTAAAAAGAGACACCTGATTAGAATCACAAACCTTCTAAAAGCTAGCTAGATAGCTCCCTCACAAAAAAACAATCAAAAGTCACTTACAAGATGAAAGAACCCACAACAGTGTTAGAGGCAAGTGATTTAAAGTCATGAAGCTAACCTGCTCAAAAAGTAGCCATGAAGGACTCTCTTATACCCAAGACAAAAGGTACCGGGTAATGATATTTGTGACAAAGTTATTTTTAATATCTTACTGTGACAGAGAAATGCAGGATAAATGGCCACATTAAACACTGTATCTCTGTTATCAGA